GTAGCTCGGTGCCCTCCGACGTTTGCCCAATCACTTTCCTGTACAGTGTCAACATCTGAGCCGCTTTTCCTAATTCCTGCTTGCGATAGTGCTCCGAATACAGCGAGAAAGTTCACATGAGAAAGTGAACTTCGTTGATCGCGTTTCTTCGTAGTTGAATCCCTTTTAGAGGGAACACTCTGTTCATGAGAATGGCTAACCGGAATTTGACTTTCTTCAATATAGTAGTCTCTCGAAAGAGAAGGTGATTATCAGTTAAAAGTCACAGAGAAAAATCACATGTCTCAAGGGCAGCTTTGAACGATGTTAGTTATTGGCACAAACTAATGCTTACGTGGTCCTCAAACTGTTCAAGATATTCAACCTAGTTAATCCAGTTTAAGACTGGCCTCAAAAGATGGCGCTGCTTGATAAATGTTGAGTTTTAACTATATGGAGATCCTAGTTAATCCAGTTTAAGACTGGCCTCAAAAGATGGCGCTGCTTGATAAATGTTGAGTTTTAACTTATATGGAGATTAACACTCTATTCTGCTACCCGTGACTTCATTCACTGTGTGATGGTTGCCTGTTCGTAGTGTGTTCGTGTGCCGGTTACTATTTCCAGTGATGAGTGCTGGTAGAGACAGGATACAGGTAAGTAGTCGTTAGTTGGCTTTTTAGTGCATCCCAAGTTTGCCGTTGTACCCGGTATTCTCTCTGTCAAGAAGTAAACAGAACGGGTGGTGCACATTGTGGCATTGGATATGCGGCTAAACATTTGACGGAAGCAGACTATCTCACAACTAGCTTGCACAGAAGCTATTCAACCTTTCGGTCAATTAAGAACTTCATTTTAAAGCTACAGGTATAAGTTCTGATGAAGCTCAGGGAATTCCGATAATCGTCGATAATTCCGATATCGTCTGATGAAACCATAGAAACCTTGTCTACCTGTGTTTCACTCAGAAACCAAAGGTGAATAAAGGGCAAACCAATTTGTACTTAACTTTATCGACAAGTGCTGACCAACTGTCAATCGACGGTTAGTTTTACTCATTGCCGGACCGCACCACATCTTGCGATTTCTCTTCGTTTGGACAACAGGGCCTACAACTCTCACCCTGTTGCATTCTCTTCTGAGCTCTGTTCACCCGCACAGCCTGGCTCCGCAATGACTGGCAGTGAGCACTAGTCGTTGGTGTACTTTATATGGTCTTAGTTTGGTTTGATGACAATAACAACTAAGATAGCGCTCAAGTATCATGAGCTTTACCTTCTTCGTACGTATCTGTTGGCTTAGTTAGCAGTAGATGATTTGAAGCACGAGATGATTAACAATAAAGATGAAATGCGCCGAGTCAGGAGGCACTTTACCACTGTAACAATAATGATTGCGAAGGAACTTAGTTCTAACGAACCAAGTCTGTCTGGAGCAACTTGAACAAAATCAGTAAATTTTGGATATCACCGAGTGACATGATAAGCCAACCTTGATAATTCGGACTTATATACAGCCAAGAACAATTCAACTGTAGGGACAGTTCCTCGCCAATGTAGTGATTTTGTTCTGTCCGATGGGTGTTCTCTGTTGAGTTCGTCACTGTGCTGGCAAGCTTCGCTCAAAAGCGTGAACCGAATCAGATCCGTAGGTGTCTATTTGAACCCACTCTTTCAATCCGCAAATTGTTATGAGACAAGTTTATAACAGCCTCCGCTACAATCCAGGACGTCAGTGAATCAGACTCATTCTCGTAGAGTAAGAATTTGTAGTAAAGTACAGGAAACGCGTATTAAAATCTGTGGTAACGGGCTGAAAGAGTAAAAACTCTGGTGTTTCAGTAGTTATGTTCAGTTACGTTTCCACGCTTTATGTGCTAGAACAATCGTATTGCTGATATTGTGCCTCACTCTTGGTGGTCTCCAATTGATCCAGACATAAGTATTCTTTTGAACTGGTTCCTTTCTAAAATCGGTAATAGAAATCAACAACGGATGGTGAGTGTTTAGAAATTCCAAACTTGTAACAACCCCATCATCGTTTGTTGTAGATCTTCACGTTAGATATGAGGCCAGTCTGTCACTTTTTCACGAGTTGTCTGATTGACTTTATCCATGAGGCTATATGATTTCTCAGCTGGAACCACTGGTCATCAGTTGTTGCGAAAAGTCAGAATAGTTAAGTTAGAAACTGCTTTCTTTTGTGCAAATATTCACTTGTTTCTCGAGCAAACTGACAGGGCTTCTTATATCACGGTGACTGTGTTTAGTGGCCAGGTATCAGTACCTCACTGGTGCACCTTCCCACCGGCCTACCGAGTGCTTTAGAGAAAGAGGTGGTTGAATTTAAGTATGCGTACACTTCTGTCCATCTAGTAAACTACGTTAGCCAGTATTACGAGATCACTTGCGAGTAATCTTCCTTTACACTCTAGCTAGTTTTGTATCGAAATGTTACCACCCACCAGTACGGTTCTTGTCGGACCACCATAGTTTGAACGTTTCTCGCTGTACTCATCGATTAGTCGACTGGCCAGTAAAGTCAACTGCAGTGCACACGTTAGGCGTGTCCAAGAAATCCCTATGTTGTACGTTATGTGGCGCCTAATTCACAGTGGTTGTCCTTACGGTACGGTATTCGATAGGTTGACACGTGGCACTAATGTTTCTCTCGCATTCATTCATTCTCGTACCATGAATGTCATCGCTAGAATGCCACATTTATCGAAAATACGTTGTACACTGAATCGTCAGACATTGAATCCACCTCTATATTCCTCGCTATTTGTCTCAACATCAGCATATCCCATCCCGTCAAGAGATGGGGTTTCATTCGGTCGTCAGTTTTTCCGCTTTTGTAATTCATACTAAGTCAAATTAATGTTTTGTGTTGCCGAATCATTCACTCTCACGAAGTGTCCCGAGGACTTTATCTTCTCGTCCAACTTCTCCATACACACCGTAAATTGGGGACAGTCTTGGTGCATAATGTCGGAAATTATCGAGCGCTCCGGCACCAAAGATGCTGTATGCTCCGATCTTGCCGTTCTTGACTTGGTTTTGTGTTGCATACCAGCCGGTATAAAGTTACACTAACTGAGTCGCTCCGCTCACACGTGTTTATTCCTATCATTGTTAAACAGGCCGCTTGTTAGGTCGTCACGAGACGTACTGTGCTTGCTAACTATACAGTCGTCCGGTTTTTTGTTCCCGATAACTGAATCAATTTGTGGCGGCCAATTTGGTGACCGCATCAAGAGGCTGATCAAAGGTAGTCCGTTCCCGGAGGTCCTTTCCTAAGGAGGAGATGATTCTGTCGTTAGATATTCGCTTTGCCCAGTTATTTTGCGATGAGTCGATAAAACTTGCGTTCTCTGTCCTGAAAAGCGAGCTGTATCGCAAGCATTCAGAATTCGCGACGTTGTGGAATCACATACGCAATCAGTACCCAGACTTTTCACGATCAATTTCCTATCTTCCTATCGAGTCAAAAGCTGACCAGTTGCTCGCGCCACCCTGAATCAGGCACGGAAACAGTTCACTTTTCAGCAGCGCAATACGTGACCAAGATGCGGCAAATTCCAGCCCAGACACATTCTTTCATTGTTATCTACGCTTCACAATCGAACATTTGTCTTCTGATTTCTGTATGGCTCCGTTGGCAATAGCCTATATGAGTCACAGTTCGGTTTTCGAATACCTGAGAACATTTCAGTTCGCAGGGGTTGCATCTCACAAGCGTATAATAAAGCCGCCCCATCCCTTGTGATTCAAAGAGTGCCTGCTATAGGTGTCGCAAATTAACGAATGCAATCCTCATCGGCTTCTTCTTGGATTGCAAGTGCCAAAGGATGGTAGGACTTTGAATCCTTGAGTTTTGAGGAACTTTTAGCATCAGCCTCATAATCTTGCCGATTACGAAACTGAATAGAGAGATTACACATCTCCGTCGAATGCCACTTTTGTTCCGGCGTCACTGTGTGACGCTTATATGTTGTCCTATCATCGAACCATTGCATGCTACCTCAGTGAGAACGTTTCTCCTGATCCCCCTAGTAATCCTCCACCAAGCACGGTCAAAACCGCATGCGGATTGGGCCGACCCTGAGTAGGAAGAGTGCTTCGAGCCTTAGCTTTATACTTCGCTGAGAGAGAGGTAAATCCCACTCACTATCTGAGCAGCTTTCGGGTGCCAGAACATCAAGGACAATGGCTGGTCACAGGATGGACAGCCCCGCACTGGTTTTCCACATTGGTTTATCAGCACGTATTTGAAGATTGTAACTTGAAAATTTTTTGCTTGCCAAAACTTCATGACTGGGGCCGACGTTCATTCTATGAAAAATCCATTTGCTGTCTCCAAAAGAAAGCAAGTCATTGTGAAACAACAGATGGCCGTCTGGTTATTTCGTGTAATTCTACTTACTGATTTCCATCCTACTGATCACTGTCCGTGTATTTTTTTTGGTCAGTTACGCACTGTCTTTTATTCACATCGGCGATTTTGTTGTTGCTGAGTTTCTATGTGTATTGTGTACTGTGCACTCCTTGAAAAGCCTAACAACCAGTTAACAACAGTGGAATACTCTCCTTGCCTAATAATACTCATGACACTGTGCGAAATAATTGTGCGCTCATTCAACCTCACTGATTTAAGGTACAAAGCTGGGTGTTTGTTAGAAGCCAAATGGAAAACCGAGTTATATCAAAATTCCAAATTACTTTAGGGCAAAACGAAGGCAAAAACCACAGTGTTTCTTTCATTTTTCTTCTTTCTGACTCAAGTCCTGAAGTTTTTACACCCAACAGACGTTTGGTTGGTAGACTATGGAGAAGTGTCAAGAGGCTAACTAATTCGACTTCACCATTCTTGACCATATTTCACCGCTTGTGATCACTGTTAAGGGCAACCCCAGCAAAGAACACTGGTATGTTTCCAAGTGGTCAACTTGGGTATGCATATGTGCTATCAGGCTGGGACATCCATTTTTGTTTTACAAGGCAGTGCTCCTTGTTTCTTACGTCTCCTCAAATACGACCAGTTGACTCATTTTTTGAACTCGTCCACGTAGACCACCAGATTCCTTCGTTTGGTCTACGCCTAATGCGAATACGAACGTATGGGAAGTAGTCTGAAGAGATCCCAACAGTCAACTAGATATTCCAGATACCTAACAGTACAAAGAAGTCAGTCGGATGCGCAGTTGTTTTTCATCAACCCAAGCGAACTGGGTATAGCTGGGCGAATCAATCGAAACAAAATTCATTTACGCCAACTGTATGACCTCTTCATTTTGTTCAACGTATTTCTGGACTTTTGTGGTCATCTTCAACCAGCTTTGTGTGAAAAAAGGAACGCAGTCGAATGCCTAAGCAGTGCTCTGCGAAATCGATCGTGATATTTGTTTAACTGTGAATATTTTGTTTCAACCTGCATGCAGATGATGCTGCTCACAATTCATATCAGTACTATATTACCTCCCCCCAGATGAATGTGCTATGGTGCGTCACATCTTTCCATTTTCATGCTTCATTACTTCAAGTCTGTTTTCCAGCTGCAATGTTTTCCAACGTATGGCGCTTTATGGGCATCCCAACCAAGTCTAGTGGGCCTCACTGATATATCGAGATGGTGTATCAGCAGTGTGTATGGCATCAAATGGGTGACGTAATGGTCGATCGGTAGCCCGGAGCGTTACCGTTGTACCTTTTCCTTTCAGTGAGGAAATCAGCCATTTTCAAAACGGGAGAGGTTTCTTTTTCTCTGTTGTTTAAGTTTTCCTCCCTGTAGATAGCGTTGTCGCCAACTCCTTCTGTCCGGCAAGGGTTTTTCCTCACTCACTGAGGAATACTGTACTGAATTAGCCAACCCGACTGCTACCATCAAGAGAGACTTGAGCCGATTATTGGGTATGCGATTGAGCTGGATAACCAGACACAGATGCTATTTGGCCCGCTGACCATCCTGTTCATGAGCGACCGCTCACATCCACGACAGACTAAACTGTGTGGTGGGGGATCTCGAACCCGTCGTTGAGTCACACCACCTCTAGTGGACACAAACAGTTACACTGTTATACAGTATACGGTTATACTCTCTTCTGACAGGCCCCATTGATTTTATAGGAGTACCTTAAACGTCTTCGATGTTGTTATATTCACCTCAATTTGTGTCACATCTGTTTGTTTCCGCTGTATGTTTCTCCTGGATATTTAGGAGATTCAGAAATTTCAAATAATCAATTTGCACTGCTAATGATGCAAATCCCCTTTGCTCCTATCACCATATCTGCGTCAGCTGCACTTTGAGATTTTGTGTTTGGCCAGCGGCCTTCTCCTGTTAAGCAGCTTCGAAAAGTAGAGCTCTGTTTCGAACAAAAAACCGCCTTCTGCATAGGTCTCTCTTTATTGGGGAACTACTGTAGACTGGATTCGACGGTTGTCCCACTAATGAAAGCAGGATATTGTATGGTATTCATTCCAACACACCAGCATGTGGGCGAATGTGTGCTGTCAGCCTCTGATCAACAAATCTGTTCACGATTATTCTCAGAATTTGTCCTAATGCCCCTAACAATGACTCCGGTTGGGTTTTGAAAGGCCTGACGAAAAGCCCAGCTAGCTGTAGTCAGTAACTTAAGGGAATGAATGATGTATACTAAAAAGCCGAGATGCACCATTCAAACCTGTGTGGCTAGTTGGTATACAACCTCATCAACCCCCGAAGATTTTGAGGTCATAAGGTCAGTGTGAAGGGAGGGATGAGTTCCACCAGGTTCGCCCTAATGAGAAGTCGAAAAAAATGCATGTTGTCGAGTTTGTTGAAATCAGAAACAGACGGGCTTCAGAATTTGGAAGAAACTTCGACGCCTCCAACATTCGTGACATCCAGTGCTAAAACATATGGTCTACCTTTCTCTTAATTTGAATTTCTATTTCCTCAGCACTAATGATTCGCACGGATTCGCAAACTGCCTTACAGTGTGAATCCCTGGATGGGGACCTCAAGACGGGCCATATGGTCAGAGACATTGTCAGCTATGGCCCAGTCCCGCCCTCAATGGCACTCTTGCATCCAACCTTTTACCTTCAGTGCATAGCTCCGTTCCCGATCCCTCATTTAAAAGCCCACTAACAGTGCTCTATTTATGCACCGGTTCATTGGCTCCCGCCTCCTATTCACAGCTACCTGCCCCACCTCATCAAGTCGCCGGTGGACGGAACCATGGCAGCTACAACTACTGTACGACAAGTACGTGGTTCTTACAGCTGATAATGGTGATGATTGATCATGGTTTCGACGCGGAAACGGAACCATATTGTCCAGATCAGACTGCTGATCAGACGACTCTGGTGTAGATGATATTGCCACCAGCTACCCTTCGAAGTTGTATTAACCTAATTCTCACTTCCAATAAGCTGAAAAAAGTGTGAACTAACTGAGTTTCGTTCCCCAACTATACGTTCAAGACTGAAAGAACTCAACCTATGATGCAGTAAGCTCTCCGTCAAACAGTGTCATGGGATGATACAGTGTTTCGGGCAAGTACAGAGGACAATATCGGGCGTCGCGAACCCCAACGTCTTTGAGCTTGGATTTTAGGGCAGATGTGCCTGTAAAGCGAAATCGTCCTCTTAGATGGTTTTCCCTCCTTATCGCAACGAAATGGTTGGATAACTCGGTACCATTTGTTTGGACAGGTTTCAGCTTTTTATCGATGTAGGAGGTAACTGGAATGTCGTTCGTTTAACACACACGATTTCTGTCGGCCCATCCTCCCTGCCAGCCACCATAGCCTGGTCACTGATGGGTAGGTTCATTAGGAAACGTACAACCTGAAACGCCGAGGGTCGGATCGGACCACTCGGGTGCGCCCTTCCAAGCACACGCTCCTTTCACACAAGCGCACGCACCACACACTACAAGAAAGCTGCGTGTGCAACCGGGCATGATGTGGCACATGTCCCATGTGCGTGTGTGTTAACTAGCGCTCAGCTAGTTTGTGTGTGTGTGTGTTTGCCTGTACAGCGATGATAAAAATGCATAATCAGACGTTACCCTCCCGCCTTCCATCAGTCTACCGCAGTGCAAGCAAGCTAACACGCGCCTCGACCACCCGAGGCAATACGCGGTCGTCGTATCCACCCACGTATTCCGATCAATAACGGCAACTGTAACCGCTTCCCTTGTGATAGTAGCTAGGTTGCTGGACCACCACCTGGCTCTGGGAAAGGGTGGTGAAACTGGCAGTCGTCGTCCCCATCAGCCTTGTGCGCACGTGCGTTTGGATACACATTGTGGGACGGGTGATTTCAGTGATGCAAACACTCGGAGGCGACCTACTGTTAAGACTGGCTAGTCGAAGTAGAGGTCGTGTTGGCCTAGTGGTCCTTCTCGCCCGAATCATTCCACCACCATCCCCATCCAGTTCCATGCTCGAAGAACGTGACACAGTGTGGACTGCGCGCTGTTCTGTCACGATCCGTAGTGTTTGTCCGTGTTTGCACGAACGTGTTTGTGTACGATCGCGTGTGTAGACTAAAAATAGACCATGGATTCGATTAGGATCAGTCGAGTCTTAGGGTTGACACTGTACACCACCCTGCACCAGCTGACTATTGCTGCCGCTCTTGGTCTGAACACATCCACCCTGGAGCGACTAGACAAACGACGAGGACAACCCAACCTCCACATCACAGATGTGGTGGTGGTGATTATGTTACTCGAACCAACCCGCCAATCGGGGTTTCCTTGTTCGGACGAAACGAAGGCAGCTTCGACAGATTTCCTTAAAACCTGTGGAACAGGAGTATTTTTGGTTCAGGGAATGTATAAACACGGGTCAGTTTAGGCATTAGTTATTATACACCTTACCACACAGGTAGTTTCCACACAGAGGCTCTCAGCATCATGACGTGCTAGTGCCCCCATATTCTAGCTGCTTTAGCGGCAGTTTTTTCGAGGAACTATGCAGTGGTTTCATCTGCATGAAGCCTGCCTGCAGCAACTACTGACAGAACCAATCAGAAACGTCTGCTGCAGCGAGTGCAGCTCGTCCGCCGATATAGTGTATCGCAATAGGACATTCACTTTATATATCTGGAATTTTAGGGTTTGAATCAGTGAAGTCGATGATATATGTGAATGACGAATAAGAGCTGAATAACATGAATTCAGTTATTTGGTGTAATTACATTCAACTGTTTGCATACATCCCAAATAAGGTTTGCAAATTGGAATATTGATAGGGCCAGAGATAGGCCAACACCATCAGCATTATCTAGACAAATCTGAGCAATGGAACAACGCAACCATGCCGTGCACCTTATCAAGGTAAGGCGAGGCTGGCAACAAAATCCAACTGTTTGGCGCAAGTCCTCGAGTATCATCATCGTTGACAGCGTGACATCAGTGTTCAACACCGATGCTTCACTGCCGTACTGTACATGGGCTGGGATACTATCAGGGCGGGAAATACAAATGCATTGCCATTCCTACGGAACAAGTCGCCACCAGCCCCCAACCTGGAGGGCCAGGAGACTGTGTTTGTCAGACCTCTAACCATTGACCAACCTTGTATAAGAGACTCCAAGTGTCGCGGGGACATCCCCCAGTATAGCTCAGTGGATCGCTGATGTGCACAAACCATCATGCCACGGTAAGGTCCAGTCTCTTCGTGATGGAGCCATCGAATATTTGCCGTCCGGAAGAACTACTTTCATTAAACGACCGAATTTTCATTGTTGGGCTAATTGTTTCGTGGGTCCAAACTGTAAACTGCTAGGCAACTGATTGTAATACACTTCAGGACCTATTCCAAACACAGCGCTGCCTCTTAAGAGGGAGTGGTTTTCAGAAGATAGTGGAACAGCTCGGACTCATCACAAGTGATAGAGTGTTTCCTAGGAGAGTTGCCTCCAAGAAAGGGACTACCTGATCATCAATGTTGTGTGTGTCCCAGTATTTAGAACACTAATTGATGGTTAGAGCGCGAATTTACTGACCGGAAGGTCCGCGGTTAGAACCAGACCTCTGCCTCTCGACTTCCCCTGTCTAGGCTCGGGCAACCTGGCAGTATTCCAGTCCTCGCGCTTCATTTGGGTGGCATGACAGCTAGGCGCCAGGAGGGTGTTACATATGAACGATTATCTATTTTTATTTTCTATTTATGCCATACCGAAAACTTTAGCTCTGTCTGAGTTTGACATTCATTTTCGAGAGTTTTTGTCTCAGTTGAGTTACGCGTGTCAGAAGTATGGCATTCCAGTCAACTTTCCCCGAAAATGTCGAGCTTCCCCGCCCCGCCTACGTTCAGCAAAGGACCAATCAGCTTTTTGGTCACGGTGAAGTGATATCCTCTGTGCTTAAAACCATTCTACACTCATTACTTGCTGTTGCGTGCACCATAGTCCAGTATGAGATTACGAAAGAAACGCAGGTAACAAGAGCAACCTGACAGCAGTAACTGACCTTTGCACCATCAGCTAAAGGTGCCCTCACTTCTAATGGGGGTCGCAGGACCCCAACAATCTCAAAACCAGATTAGTGTGTAAATGGGTGTATTTCGCAAATCGCGTCCAATCTGGGTTGAAGTAGAACGCAAGGTTAAGAGAAACTCGGCAATTGAGTCTACTTATTGATGAGCCCAAAGAAGGGCGAAACCGGTCATGGGCTGTCGAAGAGTTTTCAACAACCGTGTGATTGTTTTGTGAAGCTATACTGTGATATATCTAATGTCGGGGGCGAGATGGCCCAAGTGGTTAGAGCGCAAATTTACTGACCGAAAGGTTCGTGGTTCGAATCCGACCTCCGCCACTCGACTTCCCCTGTCTAGGCTTGGGCAACCTGGCAGTATCTCAGCCCTCTTGTTTCCTTCGGATGGCATGGCAGCTAGGCACCAGAAGGGTGCTACAGCTGAACGCTTATATCTATTGTCATACAAACTGAGGCATGAGGCGTCCCTGTGCAGTGCACTCAGTTGCAGCAGAGCACCATAAAAGATTCTACTGGATTCAATTGAGTCTCCCTTCGAAACTAGTTTAGTGTATTTCGCGAATACAAAACCCTGATTTTGCTGTAAAGATTAACCAACACAGGTCGCTTCATCCATGGTTCGCTTGGAACGAAAAGGCATTCCGCAGTTCTTTCGTCACGGCCCACATGACTCAGTCAATTATGAAACTATTTCAGTTGGACATTTCAGCAGTCGAATTACGTTCCCTATTCTGGTAAACTGTTTTTCGGTGTCCGCATATTCTTACTCAACCATTATTGTTGGTTCATAAAAGTGATAAAGTTTGACGCTGATGTACTTCTGTCTTTTACATTACGAACTTCACAGATGCGTTAGTCTCCCTTTTTTGTGTAAAATGTAGTTATGTACTGCTGATTTCCCGATATGGCGACCTCAGCTTGCTCATCACCTGCAAACGAACTCACAAGTTGAAACGAAGTCTGGAGGGGGACGTAATCGAGACCAGCAGCGACTGTCAGAACTGCAAGAGAGATCGTTCACTTTCAGGAATCTTGTGGGTCTAAATGGTCGTCCCTTTGAAAAAAAAAATGATTTCCCGATATGGCGACCTCAGCTTGCTCATCACCTGCAAACGAACTCACAAGTTGAAACGAAGTCTGGAGGGGGACGTAATCGAGACCAGCAGCGACTGTCAGAACTGCAAGAGAGATCGTTCACTTTCAGGAATCTTGTGGGTCTAAATGGTCGTCCCTTTGTAAAAAAAAAACGCTCGTTGCTTTGTCTGTCCATGTCTTTCACTGCATCTTTCGTGTCGGTGTGCAAGCCACAGTCAAGTGTTTGGTGTGCAGTCGAGCATGTTAACAAATTCGTTCCATTTGGACACGTGTTCTCGTTTCCGAGTGGTCAATCTTCTCTCAGTTTTTTCCTCACTTGCTACAGCAGATGTGTTGAAGAAGGTAGGTGCAACAAGAGGTTCAGCCTTGTCCACACTCTACTTGGAAATAAACCGTCTGACTGCGAAATATAGTGAGTGTAGCGGCATATTAGGTAAGGCACACTAAGCGGTTTCACTCTTCGAATGTCGACAGATTGAGTTTGACCTTTAAAGACTGACCTTCACTTTCATGTCTGGCCATATAATGCTTGGGTTTTTTTTTGTTTTCCATTCTCAACCCTTTGAAATATGTGTACGCAAACCCCGTTTCCTGAACCGTGCATTTACTCTGTTTTGAATATGTACGATGACCGGTAGCCACTCTAACTGGACGTCCCAGGATGAGTTAATATTTTAGGATTTCCAGGCTAGTGATAAAGACTATCATGGTGCCAGTTTTTGGTACATTCACCTGAATTGTGAGACTGCAATACACAACTACGGTACATGGGAGCCTGATTAGACATGCGCATTCTGTAAGTGTAGACACTCAACATTCACCTTGGTTTTCACTGTTCCAACTGGGTGGAGAACCTAACGATTTGGTCGTATACCGGTTGTCCCAGCCCTTGATGGTCGGCTCAGAGGGCGTTCATCTACTCTTCCAGATGAGTGCTTGCGTACTGTCGTGCAGTGCGACGTGCCGGTGAGCAAAACACACACTATGGAGTGATGGTAATTGTATTGGGTGGGACTGGGTCATTCTATTTTACAGGGATATCTGTAGCAGGTTAATGATGCTTTAATGAGCGGACGGCGTACGAGGGGATGAGCGATGGGACATGGTAGACCCCTGGACCAAAAATTGACCGGTACTTGTGAGTATTTGAGATAGTTCCGCGGGTAATGTATCAGTAACAGCTTACCTAACAGCCTATGTTTTGAAAATGGCGAGTTTCTCAACACTCTTGACAGGAGAATGGGTTTGTGGGTGGAATACTTCAAACTGCTAAACCATCCGTGAACCCAAACTCGGAACCAGTCCACACTCAATACCAACTGACAATATTCTCTAAGGGCCCAATTAGTCCGCAGGTCACTACAGTCGTGAAACAGCTGAGGATCGGAGGAATAACCCAGCGGATACAAGATCCTAGGTGAGATTTGTAAGCCTGCCATCTCAGCGTTTCGCGAACCACTGCCTTGTTCAGTCTGAAAGCTCAATTCATTCCTTGAGCTTGGGTGCTCCAATATTGCTGCCGATCCCCAACAAAGGTCATACTGACACTGCTGTCAAAATACTCGCGCCCCTTCTGCTACAGCGTTTTTCCTGAACACGAACTACACGCACTAGAGCCGAACAGAGGAGGATTCCGTCCTGCAACAGGATGTACGAGCCAACTGTTCCCTTCACGGCAAACATGACTACATAGTTTCAAATCCCTGCAGTCTCCCACAACACGCATTATCTACCACTACATGGATGTGCTTTCCCCTACCACTTAACTCGAGATGTGAAACAATTCAACAGGTTGTCGATTTCAAATGCCTGAGTTCCGCTCTTTTATCAAACGGGCGAGCGAAAAGTAAATAACGGAATACCGTTAGTGCCCGGTATATCTTCATGCAGTTGAACGCCGTACTGTGAAGAGAACAAGGTTAAGTTTACGCACGAAACTGCGGATCTTCGCAGCCACCCTTTTAGTCCCGATCTGATCATTTGGGCCCCCGACATATGGTGAAAGTTCGCTATCTAGACACGGTATCCAGTGGTGAGATCCGGTTTGTGCACATCTGGGCAGCGTCTATCCGACACATTTCTGCAGCCCACTAATCTTGTTTTCCAGGGGATAGTTGTTTGAAACTAGGATGGAAGAATATCGTAAACGAGATATTCGGTTAAGTCACCGGTGAAAACCGAACTGATATGCAAACGATTGTGTTTGTAAGATGTAACACGTTGCCCAGCCTCAGCGCCAGCGTCCCAAGATATGTAAGTCGCTCACCGGCACCATCAGTCGAGAGTGCAAATGTTCCCAGATGATATCACAATCTGGGACTTCGGCAGTTTCGTAACCTGATTCAGGTGCTTTAGTTCTATAGCCGCCGAGGCGAACTTAGCATCATGATTATACGGTTTTTGATCATATTACGTGCACCTAGGTTCCATAATTAGCCATTCTGCATGAAGGGGTATGTGTTGCTATTGAGAGATGTATTCTTGTAAAATAAGTTGATTTGCTTACTATCGATTCCTTAATTAGGGTCGCGCAGTTCACTGTCTCTTCTAGCGAATCAATCAACCAACCAACTGTCGATGATGAGAACCAACACCCAGTGGGCTACAGAGTAGTCCAAGTTGAATAATGAAGCTCTCGCGAAACGCTGATTGACCGATCTAGTCTCTACTGGAGAAACCACCTATGAGGAGTCAGGCGCATGAATAATGCAGCCTCCTCCGATATACCCAGAAGTGCCTGCCAGCCACTGTACGACGACCTGATAAGGGAACGGTCCTTGTTCACCCAGAGCTTGGCATTGTGGAAATGTTAGTGATGGTAACGTTGGTTTTATGTCATCATCCTGGTTGTCACTCATATGGCATCTAAAAGAAACAGGGCAGCAGTTATCCGGGAACGATTTCACGGGCCTCCTATACTATCAGCTGTTCACAACTGTGAACGGGTGTGGCTTCTTGATGTCTACAGACATACGAGGTCAATGTACGAGTTCACTGTATTAGTAAGCGTACGTAGCGCCAACGTGTCAGCTCATCAGCACTGCATGAGCTAAGGTTAAGCTTTAACCTAATGGTTTCCTATCTCTTCAGCCCCTTACTTCCTGATAACGACAGAGCAAAATCAATCCGCAATTCAATACTCAGATGCACACAACTGACTATGCTACTGTGATAGCTTAACGGCTTTATCAGTTGAGATATTGCTCCAGTAACTCTTCCGCAGAGCTCACGTCATCCTTCTCTGCCAGTGAGGTTTTCCACTTGAAGGGAACCTCTCAGAAAAAAGACCGACTGCCCCTATTCATCACATGATTCCTCTTTGGAGAGCGTATTTTGTGGCCAATCGTCGGAGGAAAGCCCTTCCATGGTTTGTGGAGTTTGTTAGCCACTTATTCATTCACAAAGTACAAGCTAACTCTCTGAAACTAAAGCTAGCTTCTCTTCCGGTTATCTACTCACTTGTTAGCGGTCGATCGAGAAGCATATAACAACACTGGGTAAGATGCGAAGTCTTTCCGATAAATTGGGTACCAGGAAGCACTGATGCGAGAGCACAAGCTATTTCGTACGTTTCTCAGGGGAAATAGTCGTTCGTGTTAAGTAGGTCGGACTGGGAGAATGTGCATCTTCGTGGACCTGTTGTATCAGTTAGGCTAAACACTGTAGTATGTCTTTTTTGCACCTCCACCGATAGATAACTGCCTTGAAGGGTCCGAATACGTCCTCTTCCTAGTGCTCCTCCTCACGTGTATTGCTACATCTGTTCTTCTTCAGTGTTTTTAAAATGCTGGTTTACTAATAGCATGGTGTTTCCCTCCAACGAGATAACCTTTCTCAGTCCTTCTACTGGGACAAATGCCTATCGAACAGCGGAAATCATTTTCTAGACTATGTTACTTCGTCCGAGCGATTTAAGCTGGTTTTTTCGCTATGCAAGCGCTATACTTCACCCTCTGTTTGGTTTGATCAACAAATGTTCGCGTTGTCCTGGTGTTTTCTCTTCCTATCGATCCTTTTCATTGGAATCTGTTTTTTTGCTTACCACTGCGCTGTCAGCAACATTCTTTTTTTTGTTTTTGGGGCTCTGTGTACTTTTGTGACTGTTTCCCCAACAAGATTTGTTTGTATACTTCACCCGTTTGTATCACTATCAGAAGTGTGAATTAGCCTTGGGAGTTGTCTCCCGCACTGGCCTTGTGTACATCATTCTGCACCACAGGAAACCACCACTAGACCATATTAGGTTATCCATCGCTTGCGTGCCCTCTTACGTGCCCATTTGCTTTGTTGTCCTAATGAAAAACTGCTCTGTTGCACCTTTTTGCTTCATCTCCTCCTTAGTCAGTTCGAACCCTCTCAAGCGATTTGTCTCCCATCAACTAGAAAACAAATTTGCGGAGTTTGTTTATGTTTTGTTTGCTGGTTGCTTTATTGGTTTGCCTTGGCGAATTGTGGTATGACAGCTGACCTCTAATGCAATGTCGCTGGTCCTTCTGTCTCATCTTTTGGGTGCACGACTTTCCACCGTTTTTTGGCTGTAAGCCCGACATAACGTGTGTCAAAACTAGTCATTATCCCCGCTTATTTTCATGTGAGCTCAAGATGGTTAAGGCGTAAGTTCGAACCCAACCCTGGGCATCTTGACTGCTTCTGTCTAGGTTTGGGTAACCTGACGGTATCTCAGCGCTTGTGCGTTTTTGGGGTGGCATAATCGTTCAGCTGTAACAGTCTTTCAGCGCCTAGCTACCCTGCCACCCGAAGGAATCACGAAAGCCGGGGTACTGCCAGGTTGCTGAAGCGTAGACAGGGGAAGTCGAGATGGAGAGGTCGGATTCGAAGCACGGACCTTCCGGTCAGTAAATTTCTCACCCTAACCACTTGAGCCATCTGGCATGGCAGGGTGTTGAGTGAATGTCCTCATTTTCGTGTTGATTTGTGGGCCTTCGTTGTTACTATAGTTATTCTCGTTATTGCTTTGATCACATACCTCGTTCAACCTCATTTACGAACAACTGGAAGTGTCTTGAAAACTGCTCGCCTCATTGCGAAAGTTGCACGGAAGGCCGTGCACATATAATACGATATTCATGGGGTTGTAATCCAGACAATCGGGAGCCCCGCCCAGAGCCATATGAAATCACTTCTAAGTAATTCTGTCTAGGTAACCGTTGTGATAGTTGACATTATTCACGCCCTCTTAAAACCTCCGACATTTGATGGGCATGTGTTTATCGATCATTCTTTGCTGCTCTATTCACTGCTCTATTGATTATTCCAATCTTGAAACTAATACTTACTCACCTGACTGATTTGTATCTATGTGGTCTTCTAAGTTTTGGCGCTAAACCTCGTCATCCAACCGGGTCCTAAGATTGGCACACAGGTCGCTCAAATTCTCACAGTGCAAACGGCCAAAGTGGTGAATCCGTATCGTCCTAAAGATCTTCCAAGCTTTTGACGCAAGTCACCCAAATATCATACACTAGGAGCCCTTCATTTCGGTCATGTGATTTTTGTTCTTGTGAGAAAATGCGCTAAGTGGCTCAATAGAGAAACCAGATGGTTCCTCTTGATGAGACAGCACCTCACCGTGGGCATCTTGCACACGTTTCCATACTTGATTTCTGAAACTCCCTAGCACACTGCCTGGCAGTTTTTTCTAAGTTATGTTCGACAGTGGATTCTCATCCTTAGTCACATGTTTTCAGTCTGGCTTGTGAAATTTGTTCCACACGAACCAGGCATTCCGTCGGCGGCATCATCCCATGCTTCAGCTAAGCGAGAAGGCTTTCAAACAGGCGTGTCTGGGTGCTTCGAGTGCCCAGTTGGTCGCCTTTCCAGAAGCAGTTGACATTTATCTGCACGCATGTAGCGATTGCTATCGATCGCTATTGCTATTAATTGGTTACCATTAGTTAATTCAGACAAATTACGCTGAGAAGCAACTGCTCAATCCTTGTCGGGAATTATCGGCTCATCTCAGAAACCCCTGAGTAATCCATAAAATCGACCTTCCACGATGGTCTACGACTCGACCAACGATGAGTAAGCTTTGCTTAGACGATCTTGTCACCACCCTCCAAGTACACCGTTCGCGCCACGTGATTTGAAGGTAGCCCGCAACAGCTTCTAGTACTGGTTTTCAGCTTACGTTAACCGACTCGTAGGGTGGAATTCAAATGCGAATCAACTGAGAATCCGCTCACACCACAACAGGAACCAGTTACATCTTAAAGGACTTGGTCGTATTAAGTGGTTTATAGTGAGACGCTTCCAACCGCAATTGGATATATTTGTTCCACCTTAGAGAGACCGATAGAAGTTGTGCGCTGTGCGGAAGTATTCTTTCCTCTCATCAGAAACCACGCCAAACAGTTTGCCTCACTCTAGGTCCCGTGCAGAACGCTTTCATTGTGGTCTGTCAGTTTTAGATGCAGGGTGAAACTGGGTTCCGTTTTTTTGGAAAGGTATATATATATATATATATAT